TAGCGATTTCATGATCGCTAAGCACCCGCAACATTCTCCTGAAGCTTCTCACAATCTTGAAATTCTTCTAACAATTGACTTGAATTTCTAATCAAAACTATCTTAGAGATCTTTCCAAAACTCCCACGGAATTTTTCCCTGAAATATGTTGATGATATCCCTGGAATTTTGTCTCAAATCATCTCAAAATTCCTTTGGAATTTTCATCAAAATTATCATAATAGTTCTTAAAAGTAACTACATCCTGATAGTCTAATCCAGTTTAAGGGTCATGATTCTTATTAAAGGCCCAGAATACGAATAATTCATAGAAATTCACGGGTTTTCTTAGTTTTTTTCTTCGGTTAATTTATATTCCTAGCTCTTTCCAAAATTTTACAATTTCCGGCATCACTCCAAAAAATCAGTTAATCCAGCTCCAGAAATGCAAACATGTTCAATACTTGATGGCGTAGAATAAAGATACATGAAAAATTAAATCTGCTATTGGCTGCATATTTTATCCCCGTTTACCATATGACATATGTAAGAGTAGCCCTACGGAGCACTATTAGAGGCTTTTTTTCCTTGATTTGTTTTCCGTTGATCTTGTTTTCCGGGCTGAGCACCAATGCTACCGACGCCAGGGAGCCAGCTCCCACACCTGGACCCTACCTATCGACCCACCAACTCATGAACCGGGGACCAACGGCTTTACTTCCCATCCGAAGGAAGGCGTGATCAGAGATGTTATGCCTCAGAACATCCCGGCGGCGCCGACTGGGATTGAACCCAGGCCTGGTGGGATGAAAGAAAATCACGCTTACCACTACACCATCGGCGCCACTATTAGAGGGTTGTCAGAGCATTTAGTGCTCTGTTATACACAGTCTGTCTCTTGGAATTAATTTCAATGCTGATATGCTTATTAATTTTCACTAAAATTCATAGTTTTGAAGTCACTTTCCATAAATTTTCCGTACAATTTTTTAGTCCTGTTCGCAGAAAATTCAAAAGATTCTCTTCAGAATTTCGATAAGTTTATGTCACTTATCAAATTGTTTTCAAAATACCCAATTTATGCTAATTTACTACTGCTACAAAGGAAGTTAAAGATTGTGTAGCGCTTTGCAAAAAAAAAAACAATTCTCTTCTGAATGCCATAACAATTACCGTTAGAACTCACTTTGATTTATCCTCACAATTCTCATTAGCTTCTCTTCAGTGGTGGCGGGGGGGGGGGGACACCCCTCACCATCCCTCTCCAAAGGGGGAGTTTGGTAAAGAGAGATGAAAAAACCGATTTGTACCTTCCTTAAAAGTTGTCCTAGCTCGCTATTCTAATATCTATATGCAATCTTCACACTGCCATACTCTAACGGAAGCATCAACTCTATGCTTTCATCTACTCCATATATCGTATAAAAATTACCACTACAGTCTGTTATTTGAAATTAGCATCTTCAACTATTCAAATATTCCTAAGCGCAGATTCTTCTATTATGATTAAAAATGCAGCTCCTTGGATTTTTTTTTCAAAGTCTGACACCATGAATATTTCTATAACTCCCATTGACGGGAGAACTTTTGAATAAAATCCAAGTCTTGAAATCTTGAAATTTTCAATAAGACCCAGAATCTTGAAGATTTTGTCTGCAATATTTAATTTTCTTCTATGGTAGCGAGCTGAAAAATTTTAATTCAAGGATTTCAAAAAATATTTTTGATATATCTTCACTATCCAATATTTGGGTCTCATAACCAAAGCAGCCTTAGATTGCCTAGTCAGTAAAGGCACGGTATTACCATGCGGCGGGTTCGATCCTGGTCCGTTCGAGGAAACCATTTGGTTTGAAAATTGTCTTGACTTCCCTGGGCAAAGAATATCATAGTGCTGGCCTCACAAAATACAAATTCTTACATTGGTTGGCATAGGAACCTCTGAATTAATAACTGTGTAAGTGCATCAAGAATACTAAGTAGAGAGCCGGCAAAGCGCTAGCTACAGTAGCGTAAAAAACCTAGAAGAAAACCAAAGCAGCTCAATAACGTTAGATCTATGCAGAGCGTAAAAATTATTGACTGCTTAGGCTGAGTGTGAAAGCACTGCACTATTCAATCCATTGCGCTATGCAGATAGTTTGTACCAAACGGTAAAGGACAAGACAATGAAAGAGCCAACACAAACATTCAGGTGACAGGTGACTCATATCGCTTGCCTTCCCTCACACAGCATGTAATTCCATAGAAAATGTACGCTCAGTCATTCAAAACAAGTATTGAGTACCATCATGGAAGAATAAACGTGCTGACTGAGCTACTGACTGAGTGCTCGGCTGTCAGTAACTCGTTTACCTCTCAATCATTCAGACTCTCACGAGGCAGTGAATGATGAGGCAGATGGCAGTTCATATTCATCTGAAATTAACTCATTGAACCTGACTGAATTGACCTTCGAAAAACTTCATGTTTTTGCATGAGTTACCCCCTCTGGCTACTAAAGGTTGCACACGAAAAAATCCCGACACGTTAAAAACGCGCTATAAAGGCATTTTTTGAGAATTTTTTTTTTTCAAAATATCATTGAATGAAGCTCACATTAGGTATCGGATGTCAGGAAAAGTTCATTTGTTTACATCATGGCTTCACCAGAGCAAGTACGTCGCGACTCGATCCTGCACGCTCGAACCAAAAATCCCGGTCTATCCGCTCATGACAGTTTTCGATCAAATTGCTGGGCATGAGTTTTATACTTCGGTTGACCGCAAGAGTTCCCCGAAAGTATTTAAAATAAAAAAGAAGTAAAAATTCCCCAAAAAGTTTTTTTTTCTCCCTTTGGGTCATAATCACTGCATTGATCTTTTGTGATATATCCGTATCCTTTGTTTAGTGCATGTCGTAGTACCTCATTTCTATGGAAAAGTAATGAGGTATTCGTTTTCGATACAATTAAATCATACATACTTGCTCTTCTCACAAAAAGCTTCATTCAATTGTGATGTTTCGCAATATTCGAAGCGTTCTGTGTCCTTTCCAAAGACGCGCCCTCTCATCAATCAAAATGGCTCTTACATTAATCCTCATTCAATTGTGATGTACCGTGTCATTTTAAGAGTTCTGGAACCTCTCCAAAGACGCGCCCTCTCATCAATCAAAATGGGGTAAACAATAGTAGGGGTAAACAATGGTAGGGGTAAACAATAGTTGCAATTTTCAAACCTACGACTGGATGCCTTCCTTCAAATAACAACTGAAGTGCGGTAAAAAATCGGTAGAACTGTTTCAAACACACAGTTGGTACTTGAGCGGGTCGGTTTTCATCTTTTTTTGCCAGTGGTGGGGGGGGGGTACACCCCTCACCATCCCTCTCCAAAGGGGGAGTTTGGTAAAGACAGATGAAAAAACCGATTTGTACCTTCCTTAAAAGTTGTCCTAGTTCGCTATTCTAATATCTATATACAATCTTCACACTGCCGTACTCTAACGGAACTATCAACTCTATGCTTTCATCTACTCCATCTATTGTATAAAAATTACCACTACAGTCTGTTATTCGAAATTAGCATCTTCAACTATGTAAATCGTTGATTTCACGTAGAAGTAATACTAAAAACATATAGTCAAAGTATTATATATGTTTTCAAAAAGAATATTAACCTTAAATTGTAAGTTTGACTAACCTTGTGTCTAGTTTTTGTTTTGATCGTGTGCTTTTTTTTGAATGTTTGTTAATGTAATAGTTGTATAATTACACTGCGGATAACAAATTGAATAGGAATAAGTTCATGTTTTAGGAATAATGAAATATTTGTATCATAAATCATAGCTCAAACCTCCTTCTCCCTCTCCCCATCCATAAAACTGTAAATCTCTACTAACCTCGAGACGACCGCGAGTAATCGGTTCAATTCCTTTAACTCTAGATTTAAGACATGAATTATGTATACCGCAAATGATAACTTGGCTCTGTAAAGTTTATTCGATTGAGCCTGTACAAATAAATTAATACAGGGTTGGTTGGAAATGCTAACATGAAGCTTTAGTGTGATGATTTATTAGCTAGAGAATGATCTTTAGAAGAGGGTAGGTGGATAGTTCCGTTAGAGTACGGCAGTATGAAAATTGAATAGAAGTTGAAAATGAGCGAAGGGCCATTAATGCGACAGTTTTTTATGTTAGACGCACATCTTTTGCCTAACACGTACGATGCACGCGGAGACTTGAAGTATGTCATGAAGTAGTCTCTCTAGACCCTCTTCTAAAGATCATTCTCTAGCTAATAAATTATCACACAAAGCTTCATGTTAGCATTTCCAACCAACTCTGAAAATCGTTAACTTCGCGTATGAAGTAACATAAAAACACTTTGAATGTAAAAAATTAATACAAAAAAAAAACAATGCGTCCCCATCAGGTTGATACTTTTGGAGCAGCTTTTATAATACTATTAAATACTTAGTTATTTATTGAGCATCTTAACTGGCAACACCGGATTGTTGTTTTCAACCGAACCTCGAGTCAGCAGCTTCGTTGGTGATCCTCCTGCCGCAAGGGTAAAGTAGCAACACAAGCAAAAAAAAGTTCAACATAAAAGTTTCTTTCAACTCTCTCCGCTGCTGCTGCCATAGCCTCACACTCATCCACCACCCATCGAATCGAACGCCTCCTCACTCTGCGTTCGACCACGAACAAACATCCTTCGCATATGTATGAATATGATCTTCGCTCTTCTGCTGAGCTTGCCAGTTCTCTCCACACCATGCTCTTGCTCTCTTCCCAGCACGGATACAACCTAGGAAATCTGTTCCAAGCTGCGTGCGATCTTCCAACATCTACACACATAGAAAACCACCTACCGCCGTACATACCAGCAACAGCATGGGAGGAGGTGGACATGTGTCCGTGCTGAGAAATTTACTCACCACCTATCCCTCTCTGCTCTCAATCTCTCTCTCACGGTGAGCACTCGCTTGTACAGATGTATACGTACACAACATAAGTCTAAGATGGCCGACTTTATTTGATCGAAAACAATCGCGAAGTGCGGACGCAACTTGAGTGCGATCCTCCTCAGGCAAAGCCTGACAGTAGAAAAACCACCCAAGTAGAGAGAGCAACTCGCACTAGAACTCCAAACCCGTACGGTCTCGAATCGTCAACCCGCCCAGAGCAAGTGTTCAAGTCTCGTTTTTCTATTATCGATTGCATTCGCGTTACAACTGGATTCTAGAATTAAGTTAGAAGATTAATCGACCGATCGTGAGTGTAGATTGCTTGTTTTCTTTTACGGACTGTGTAAAATTAGGCTATCTAGGCGATCATTGGGAATTGTGTTCAACGAAACCGTGTGACTGAATCGAAAAGTTCAAAGTGGATTTTGTAGTTTGATGGTTTGATTCGACCGAACTTCTCTGCCGAACCATACACGCTAGTGCAACAGGGCAAGGGAATACCCAACGATCAACCAGGAAAGAAAACGAGAAATAAGATGTCATGAAACATCATTTTGGCGGAGTTTGGCGTACATCTACACCGGGCTGGTGAAAAGTCGGCCTACAGTATTTCAACTAGAGGTGAAGAGTTTCGTTCCTGGAAGAGTGCGGTGATCCGAGAAGGATGTTGTAAATCCCGCACATGCTGATCCTCGTATGTCAGTAGGAAAAACAAACCCAACAGAAGTAGCGTGAAGTGAATTGTACGGCAGCATAATAGGGTGAAGAGAAGTTCTGTTCCGAGAGTGCAGAAGAGTGTGGCTGAGGAAGTGACGACCGGGAAGGCCTCAAAACTAGAAATAGTGTCAAAGCCGAAGTGAGTGGGAGTATCAGTTCTTTTTCTTTGCTCTTCTACTGGTCCTTATTGATCTATGCTTCTGCTGTTAGGAGAAGTTGGATATGTAAACCGATCCATAGAAAAATATGTTGATTGAGAAGAGAAAAATATCTTAAACCGAAAAGAAAAAAAATCGAAAACAACAACACAGCTGCCAGTTTTGTTCGGAAATGGAGAATCCAATCGAATCGAATGCTACAGTGAATTAATTGATACAGTGAGTCAATCGCAGAATACGAAAACAAATCAAACCTCAGTGGATGCGCGCAGGTTTCGGTATGTTTTAGCCTCGTTAGCTAAAGCTCAATTCTCAAATAAAAAAAAAAGAAGCGAAGTGTGAAGTGTATCAAGCTTCAGCAGCAAAATTATGGTAGTACCAACGATGGATAGCCTACCACGAGTACCTGACACCCATGGAGACACCGTGGACGAGAAAGTGTTTTCCGACCTGTACATTAGGACTAGCTGGTTCGATGCCTCGATCGCGCTGGATCAAATCGAAAAGGTATGTGATGGATTTCGACTCGTTTGTTTGCGGACGTTTAGCTGCTTCCTGTGATATTTTTTTCTGTTGTAAATTTGATTTCCTTGCTGGTTCATTCATTGCTTTTCTCTATGTAGGCTAAGTCGCCCATTTTCGATACTGTTCACATGTTCCTAATTTTTTCTAATGATTGATTGAGTACCTAATATTGTATGAATATTTGTATTTTCAAGAATAAATTAGGATAACTTTTTTTAATCCATTTCACTGAAATTGTTGCACAAATAAAAAACCTTTAATTGCTTACAGATTGTCAACTTTCAAAGTCACGTGAAACATAAAGACCAATGAAATCAAAATCATGCTTGATTACGAAAATCCCCTAATATGCTGGTACGGTTTTGCATTCTGCCGCTGATTGCAAGTCGGTCCAATTTGCGTTTTTGTCAAATCTGTGTTTTTCAGTGGAAGTGGTAGCATCCATAGTTTCATAATACTGGATAAACTCAACAACTTTGTTCTGGAAAAGTTTGGAAAAAACAGACAACCGGGTTGTCCCATTGTATAAGAAGCAATGGTATAAGCTAACTTAAATCGCGTTTTTCCTGGCTTGCTGACGAACTTGTCATGAGCGACAGTATTGGTATAACTTAAAACGCTAAATCACTCTACTTGTCACAGTTTCACATCTGAGCAGTTATAGTTAATTTTCATAAAAAAATATTTACATCTTCGTCAGTTCCTTCACCAATAAATAAGCATCGCATTTCAAAGTATTTCATCGCTAAAAAAATGACTATAATGTAACTAAGTATACAAACTGATGGAGTCGTTCTATCACACTATCTTTATTTAATAAAATTGGCTTTTTGATTTCATTCAAGTACCATTTTTAAAGAGGAACGTGGAAATTCAAACAAATTGGAACGGGGAAATAAGCTGCTAAATTCTGATAATCAACCTCAAATATCGTTTAAAAAAATTAATACAGTTAGATCTCGATTTTGGCAACACGTAGTTTTTGCCTTTTTTTGCGTTCCACATGGTTTATTATACGGAAATCTTCTAATCGGTTTCCTGTTAATCCTTGGGAGTCACCCATAAATTATGTATGGGATTTCAATTGATTATTTCACCCTCCATTGCAAGACACTTACGTTATCTCTCTTCCCCCTTAAATTTTAGTAAGATTTCAACATTTGCAGAAAATCTTTGAATAATAAATTGGGAACACTTATATATAAATTTATCACTTTAATACAAACATAAAAACGGCAAAGATCAAATTATTTTCTGCTAACTATTAAATCTTTATCTACTCCCATTGTAAGAAACTGTAAGATTTTTTTTTTGTATATCGTCATGTTAGGCATGTTTGACGACCTTGAGCCTTAATTTTTTTTAATCTGGTCTTAAATTTAATATATTATATCTGCTCACGATCTTGATGATTCTCTGGATGCGAGAATGAGGCAAACTACTTCCATTTTAAGATTAGATTTTGTTTGTGGATTTGCATAAAAATACTCTAAAAATCAGATATTTGAATGCAATTTATTCATCGAAATTTAGATCTATTTTAAAAGATAAGTTAAAAAAATTAAACTCTGCAAAACACTCCCTACAATGTTAATTATAGATTGTATACTGGGGACGGACTCAGCGTAGTGTTTAGTATCCATACATTTTATGGTAAAGGTCATGAGTTCAAATCTTACCCCAGACAAGTCAAGAGTGATAAAATGTGCTAACCAAAGTACGCCCACGCAAACCAATACCAATATCTAACTTTCGGAAAGGTGAGAGTTGCTCCTATCCGATGATGTTGTTGGTTAGCGTGAGCGAAACTTCAGTTTGCGTGTAAAGGGTCTTAAAAAGTTTGTTTATAAAAGCTTTTGTGCTGTTATCAAATGTTACGCCTGACATGAATTAAACTAACAATTTTTTTTAGACATATCACCGAATTTGTTAAAAATTTCAGCTGATGAACATTTGGCAAAACGTTGATCCTCATTTCAACATTTTTTTTAAAAGGAAACAACTTCTAAACGTTGTTGAAGTACCGGAAGAATCGGGTATTAACCGTGAATCGAAAACAACCGGGAAATAACCAAAAAAAAAAATTTACAAGCTTACAATATTTTGTTGTGCCTTTATTAATCGAATGCTGTTAAAAAACATTCTAAGTATGATGTCTTGAATATTTTTCCTAAAATCTTAAATATTTTTTTTTATTTTCCATGGCACAGGATACCAAAAACTAAGCCCGAGATCTTTTTTTTTTTCCTCTGTTCGGGACCTAACACTACTGCGACCAGTAAATTGATCTATTGTAGTATATCCCGTGTCCTTAGTTTAGTGCATGTCGTATTACTCCATCACTATTGAGAAATGATGAAGTATTCGATTTTTTTACAGTTGCCACTCTTGCATTTATCGCAAGGATCCGAGTCTAATTGAAAGGTCCCGCTATTTATACCCTTCGGAGTGTTGAAACACCCTCCAAAGGCGCGCCCCTTTGTCAGTCAAAATTGGATTCCTTAGCAACAAAATTAAGGTATGACACCGATAATAACCATGCATCAGCACCCTAGTCTTAACCACTTCAAACTAGGGAACAACGAAGAGAAGATTAGGAATCACATAGATGAAGACAACTAACTCATTTTTTTTGCCTTGTTTCAAGATCATCCTCGGTATACAAAGCCGAGTCTTGTCACTATCAACAAGGCATAAAAAGTAACAAAGACTAAGATGTGTTTCTTGGATTACTGAAAAATCCTGTTCCCCTAGTTTGAAGTAGTCAGGACTAGGAATCGGTGGTAGATCTTACATCCCTTAACGTACCACGAAAAGGTGATCTACCCACGCTACGGGGTAAGTCCGAGATCTAAACAATATTAAAAATGTCCCAGAGACTGGCATTTAAAATATTTTCGATAATTTGTTCTCAATCAAAGTCTCACAAATTTAAGATATTTTTGTTAATCCTTGATCTTCAATTTATGTGCATGGAATATTGAAATGTTTTAAATGTATTAATTTACTAATTGTTTCTGGATATCTTTGCAAATTTGTCAAGGATTTACTTAGGATCATTCTAAAAAGTCTTCAGAATTACTTTTACTTTCATGATTGCCCTCAATCTTACACTTAGCACTTTATGAATTTTCCTTATCTCTATAATTTTATTGGAATAATCCTCGGAAATTTCAAGGCATGTCATTTAGAATTTCAGAAATTAATTCTCTCAAAAATTTCCTAGGATTTCCCCTCAGCATTTTTCTTAAAATGCTCTAAAATGATCTCTTGGAATTATCTCGGAATTATCTAGAAACTTCTCTTAGTATTTTCTTGGAAATGTCTTCAGATTCTCTTGGAGCACTACTCAATATTCTTTGGAAATATGCTCAAAATTACTTGCCAAACTCGCCCGGAAAAAACCTCGATATTGAAATTTATGAAATTCTGCTATGAATTTTTTGAGTTATTTATGAATTAGATTTCCATGGAATTCTTATCCATATTTCCTTGCAGCTCTCCTCAAATTGTCACTCTTATTGATTGATTGATCAACATTTAAGAGATTTTCATCCGTAGTTGATCATTAGGCGAAATATCAGAATTGTTCACTTTGAAGAAAAGAGGCTCCGAATTCCATTAGAATTGTTCCGAAAATTCCTTTCGATTTGTTTTAGACTTCCGTGGAGTTATAATCACAATCCCAATAATAGCGTCATCAGAACTACTCACCTTTACTTATCCTCACTATTTTCATGAGATACATCTAAAAATTACCTGAAATTTCTACATACAATCAAAGTGTGTTGTTACTTCGTACGTGAAGTTTACGATTTTCAGAGTTGGAAAGAATTGCTATAATTATATCAACATAAGGCTTCAGTGCGATAATTTATTAGCTCGCGAAAATTCTGAAGAGAATAGATTGAAAGTTCTCTAGCGGAACTTGTGAAAATTGAACAGGAGTGTAAATTGAGCGAAGGGATATGAATGCGACAATGCTAATTTAACGCGCACTTCCTTACCTAGCTCATATATTGATGGATGAGGGGATTTGAGGTATGTCCTCAAATCCATAGGCAAAAGAGTGCGCCTAGCGACGTTTATCACTACCTAAAGCCCCACGTTTCCAAACGATGGTGTGTTATAATGCAACTCTTCTTTACCCAACTATTGTTTTGCTTCTTTCGTCATGTCCAACGTAGTCATCTCAGAGAGAAGCAGTAGGGTGGTACTGCATGCTATACCAGCATCAGCATTGTTGACGGTGACTACCGCTTTGAGTTATTACATTAAATCAAAGTGTGTTGGTACTTCGTACGTGAAGTAACTCTATAAGTAAACTTCTAGTTAAATTCCATCGGGATTCTCCACAAAGTTCCTTTAGAATTATCTCTATATTTCCTCTACATCTATCCTCAAAACTCTTTTTAATTCTCATTATAATTCTCTAGCCAATGCTACATCGTAGCAAAACCCTAACATTTTATTCAAGTCGAAGAGCCATGATTTTTTTTTAATATGAGAATTGTAAAGTATCGCCGAAGATGAACCAGCGTCTGGCTGAAAATCTGCTTACCAAAGACAACCAACCAACATACCAATCAACCAAAATACGCATCATTTAAAGTAAAAACACTCACAAAGCTCACGACCGGCCTTGCCTCATAATCTTAATAATTTTGTCATGCAATCTTCGAACAAAAGTTCAGTCCGAGTATTTAAATTGTTTTCTAAAATTATTTCCATTTGGGTCTAGTGTCCTTCCAAAATTTTACATGTGATTTGTATAAAATTGAAAATTCTGAGACTATTTATGGCCTTTATAAAATGATCTAAATTATAGAGCATAATTGACAATTTGTTGCGATCTAAAAACTTAATAAATTTTCAATTTTTTTAAAATATATGTTGTGTTTTCAGTAGAGGGGAGAAGGTTTTGGTGCAGTTTTCTATTTATTTTTTTGTATGACATCAATCTAGCCGGTATTCCCTTTTTT